TGACCCACCGTCTCCCCCTCTCCCCCTCCCCCGCTACTTATGTTACTACAGCGTAGATTTCGCTCAGCTGGGCAGCCTATGACTCACCGCTGGGACGTGTGTGCGTAGTAGTAGTAGCAGTAACAGTAGCAGGAGTAAGATAATATAGGACTCCTGGCAGTAGTAGTACGGCGTGTGTGTGTGTGTGTGTGTGTGTGTGTGTGTGCGTGCGTGCGTGCGTGCGTGCGTGTGCGTGCGTGCGTGTGTGTGTGTGTGNGACGACACACACACACACACACACACACACACACACACACACACACACACACACACACACACACACACACGCACACACACAGAGAGGGAAAAGAGAGAAGGAAGAGAGAGAGAGAGAGAGTAGGATATCTCGCGTGTAAGTGACATAAGTGCACGATGACAATTGCAGGTTAACTGACATTATTACATATGATTATTCACCATTAGTGTATTCCGTCTTCCGTATCAATAAGCGGTTAGCCTGTACGCGGTACAATCTCCTTTACTTTTCTTTTATTCATTCACAGGTTGCTAAATCTCGTGCCGGCAGGCGTTCAATTTATCAGTTTTTGCTTCGCGGTTAGGATATTCCAGGCGCTGGGCCAAGTCGCATTTCTCACTTCGTCTTTCGCGATTATTGCAAACGAATTTCCCGGACAAGTGTCGACAGTTTTTGTAAGTATCAAATAATAATTATTACTAACGTGCTAAGTGCTATATGCGTAGGCGTTGCTCAAATTTAATCAAACTTGAGTCGTAAATTTTGGCACCGAATGTAACTACGTAGGCCATACCCTCAACACGAAGGACGTTTCTGTATTCATGAATATTCTCAATCCTTTGAAAGTTTTTGGATCATTAAATATTTATAAAACTTGGGCCATTTAATTTGTTTTTGTGTATATGGGTCGACGCATAGACTTTCCCAATAAGAAAGACAAAACCCTGGAGCATGTAGCAAGTAATCTGGCGTGTAATGTAATAAGCAAACGTTACGTAATCACTACAAATGTGATTTTCTTTACGTAATATCACTGTGATCGTACCGAAAAGCTAATGTAAAATAACCTCGATGCATCTAGCGTGTTACTAACTTTGGTGAGGTGAATGATCTTGCACTTAATGCTGCACGTGATATATGTGATATTTTATGTGATATCGTCACGAATGCATAAAACATACCGTGGCCGTTGGACCTACTGTGAATGGACATGTAAACAAACATTCACCCTGTGTGGGATTATTAATATTATATATATATATATATATATATATATATATATATATATATATCTTTGGGAGTATAAAAATTTCATAGCACCAGAACTATTACCCTAGTGCCACAGTCTCCGAACAAGTTACTGTCCAGTCGAGCTTGATTTTTAGAGCCAGCCAAACTCAAAGTTAGTAACGCTGACTATGTTGATATCCAACACTTCCTGGAGCGAAGGGCCACGATCTAGAGTAAAAATTATAACGCTTCGATCACTCCATGTTAGATAAAGCGAGCAAAGCCTGGCCTGGCAGATGATAGTCTGTTATTTTGCAGCCACCTACTGGCTCAAATAGGAATCTGCGTCTTCGTGTAAGTTCGAAACATAATACGGAGCGACAAGTCTAGCTGATTCGGCTCCTGCTGTAGGTGGTGTGGCTCGTGATGTTATGTCGTGACAGCTCGTTGACTT